CAGTTCTTATTCCCAAATGTTTAAAATTTAATTTTAAAGCCTTACCTTTGTGATCTGTATTTGGCCATGGATGGCATTTTTGTTTCCATCATCATTCTCAGACACATTCCTACACTGATTAGCTGTCATGCATAATGTTTACAACGCAGAGTAAGCACATAACAAGTGACCAGTTCATTCTAGATAATGGACACCTCATGTGGAGTATTCAGAACCCAAAATAGTTTCAGGTAGCAAACTGCCTTCTCCTGTAAATCTTTACATTTTTCTATATTCCTTGCCTTTCTCAAACAAGAACCTTCAAGTTTTCAGATGCCTCTCCCTAGACAGACAATAAATCTTTAATTCATACCATCTCATCCTCTAAAAATTTCCACTTAATTGAGCTTTCTTTTCCTTCTCAAAGACTACACTTTATAAGTCAAATGACATTCAAAGGTCCTCACTGGGTAGACCCTATGCACTTTTTTAGCCTCATTTCTCATCAGTATCCACACTTCGGATTCTGTGAAGAAATGAAAATAAGACTAACAACCAAACTGACTTTAATTCGTCAACTTTACTGTGCAGTTGTTCAATGCTTTCGATGACATTCACCAGATACATTTCTATTGATCCATTTGTTTTGTTTTGTTTTGTTTTTGGAGGGGAAGAGATGCTTAAAATTTAACTCATGCTTGTACCACTGAGCTATACTCCCAACCTCCTCTATCCTTCAAAAAAAAAACCAGGAATTTCATTCTCTAGGAAGGTTTCCCTTACCCCGTATTTCTCTCCAAATACTTGCAAATATTTAATGCTTTATGTTACAACTCTTACAAGTCTTTTCTTCTACAAGAAAAATATAGTTTCACATTGTTCTTTAAAGGCAGAGCCTTGTATCATCTACCTTTACACACTGTGCCCAGGACAGTACCACATGCCTGGCTTTAGAAGGCATCAGTAACATTTATTAAATCCAGTTTAAAAAATTTCCAAATATTTGAAATCAGAAGCCAGATTGAAATTTTAAATTTGTGTTTAAT